GAGCGCGAGTGTGACCACAGTTGCGAAGCCGTCGCCAGAGCCCTATATAGGCAACCAGGGGTTGCTGTGCGAACTGATATCAAGCCACATTCGATTACTCTTCAACCAAAACAACAATATGTGGTGCTGAATAACTACTAAATGAAAAAATCCTTTCCTTATAGTTTTGTCACGTGCATGACAATGGCTGTAGCCATTATAATTGTTCAGACCATTGCTCCCGTTTTATTACGCTCTCAAAATGCTCCAGCCGATATCAAGGAAGAACCAAAGAAGCCTCTAAAGAATGACCAAGACCCCCATAAAAAAGTCCTGATGAGGAGCGAGTCAGCACCACCCTACCAACGTTTCTTCCACGCCGTGGCTTTCATAAGTATCGTTCTTATTGTGCCACATGTTACGTATACAATTGGCGGAAAAATGAAGCTTAGACTGCCGAGTGCCCCGCTGAAAGGGGGTAGAAAACTGCACGAAGTGCCTCCAGTATGCTAGGCCAGGCAACAAATACCGCCAGACTGCAACAATAGGAATCGTGGCAGTTCGTTCCAACATCGTTAACAGCTTAAGTCGTCCGAGGCTTTCGAGCATGGCACTTTTATCGCCCTGGCTCGAACACCGCTGTACCAGCTCAAATCGCAGCACTTTAAAATGCGCGACATGGTCGGTGTGAGCTCGACTCGGTGCTCTTACACGGACGGGTGATTCAAAATGCACCGCTTAAGTTGGCGCTGCACACGATCACGTCCCACTTGCACGCTTGAGTATACTCCGTTTCACCTTACGATGGACCGCAGCGAACGTTGCTAGCCGTCGGAGCCAATGAAATGCCGGGTAAGTGTCCTGTGACCCTCAGGGGGAAGGGGGTTTTCTAGGGAGTGCTGCGAAAAGCGACTTGTTTTGGGTATTACTCACTTGCGCGTCTCAAAGTGCTTCACGTGCAGAAGTGTGCCTGCTCTGGTGCTGAGCGCGTTAACGAGGATGACACGAAGAAACAGCAAAAATTCTTCGTCGTTGTAGCACAGGTCATAAACCAAGACGCTAAGAGCGTGAGAAGAGTCGGGATCTACCACGCGTACCAAAAACAAGAAAAAAAAAAAGCGTTTCGACGTTACATAAAATCCGACGTCAACACCCAGAGGTGGAGACGCGTACCCTCGTAATGATGGCATGGATCCCGCACTTTCGACTGTTTTACGGTGTTTTTGTTTGTTTGTTTTCGTTTTACATCGCCACAAAGAAGAAAAGACGCTGATCGAGGGCTCCACAAATAGTTGGAGGCCAAATCATTGATTGGGTTGTATTCTTCGGCTTCCCCTTTGTATTAGGTGATCACAAAACCTTGTTTTCTGGACCTAACTAGTGGTCACCTTTGACGATCGTGTATGCCAGTGTTGTCACAGCTGGGCGTCAGATATCCGCTAAAAATTGATAAGAAATCCTCCAGATTCCGCTAAATTGTATGATATATCCGCTAAAAAAATCCGCCAGATTTAACGTAAAATCCGCAAACTTAGCATCACTCTTGTGCACCACCAAAAGACAGGGCGCCACTGTTTGTGAAAGAAAAGCTCCAGCGCAGGAGGCATATGGTCACGTGATGCCTTCGCGGCGCTGGATTGGCTGGGATGACTCGTATCATTCGCTGCGGTCCATGGGAGGGTGAAACCAAGTATAGGGCAGTTTCACGAAACAGCGTTTGCCTTCCTATCAACCGCGTTCCGCCATGTTGATGAACAGCGCCTGCCACGTTTCGCCTGTGGTTTACACGCAGACGCATAATTGTTAACGTCTTTTTTTTTTTTTTTTTTGAGGCTGGTGAAAGGCTGAACCATGGCAAGTAGTTCTGTCGATGACAGAACTCAGTGACTAGGATCGGGGACTTGTTCGGATTTCATCAAATCAAAATTATTCCGACTTTGTCTTCCTTTTCTTTTTTTTTTTTTTTTTTTTAGCGTTGCTTAGGCAGCATCCATTGGTGCCTTTATGGTCGCCGACTGGTCAACGTCTCAATGGCCGGCTCGCTTTTATATCGAATAAAGACCGGGTTATAGTGAGAAAAAGAATCGAGTGCCAAACGATGCTTCTTTGTGTCGCCGACTGCCTCGGCCTCGATTACGTCGATCACGACGCAAAAACACTCGACCGAGCAAGAAAACAGTGCCATCACGCGTAAAAAGACATAGGGCGAAAGTTTATCAACGTGACGTCCGGCGAGATTTCCAGCCGGAAGTACGTCACCTGAAACCTCCCGAAAATTTTAATGATAGGTTTTCAATTAAAAAACAAATTGTAGAAATCACAGAAGTGATTATTTATGAATGCGAAAGCATTTATCGTTGCACAATCTGGGGAAGTGTTAGGTTCGCCGCTAAATGTAGCAGGGAATCTGAATTGCTCCATAGGTCACGCGACGTAAATATTCCGCTAAATTTAGCGGGGAACCTGAATTTCTCCAAGTCCCGTGACGCACGTCAGGTCACGTAAGCTAAATTTCTTCGCCGATTCCTTCGTTATATTAAGCGGGGAACCTGAATTCGTTCATAGTTCGTGACGCAAATGTCCCCGCCAAATATAGTGGGGAAACTGAATCGGTGCATAAGTCATGCGACGTAGATTAGCCGCTAAATTTTGCGGGAAAACTGAATCGGCCGCGTTGGCCACGTGAACCCGAATTTATCTGTAGGTCCAGTGAGGTGAGGTAAGGAAAACGTTTATTTAAACCTAGGACAAACGTCAGTCCCCGAATCAGGGGCCCACGGCGGTCGGATACCAAGCTTAAGACAGTCCGCAGTCGGATTTGAGCTCGAGCCACTGCGAGATCCGTGCCCCGAATGCCGCGGGGTAACGAGTTCGATGAGGAACGTGGCACGCGCCACCCGAACCACGAGCACCGCGGCGGCTCACGTCCGCAGGCCGCCCCCCGCACGACGCACGAACAGCGCGACCCCGGCCCGAAGGCCCGACGCGGCGCGTTCGCTTTCAAGCGTGGCGTGTTCGTCTTTGGTGGCGGAAAATGATGACGCGTATTGTTACAACGAGGACCCAAGTGCGCTCCTCAACGCAAAGCCCAGGAGGGAAGTCAGGACCCTTGTCCGGCGCTCGGAGTCGCCGGTAGGGGGCAGGTACCGTGACGTCACGTCACGTGGCATTTATTTTTTTCCGCTAAAGTTAGCGGCGAACCTGAATAAGTGCGTAGGCCGTGACGTAAATGTTCCGCTAAACTTAGCGAGGAAACTGAATTCGTGCATAGATCACCTGACGTAAATTTTCCGCTTAATCTAGCGGGGAAAATGAGTTGGTCATAGGTAGGGTTCGGAATTTTTGGTTTAAACCGATGAAAACCGATAAAAGTAAGCCGAATCCATTCTCTAAAATTTTGTTCTAACCGAAAATGGTCAGTTTTTTAAGGTCGCCTCGAGATGGGCGAGGGGAGGGTGCGGGAGGGGTGAGGGGGAGAGGGCGTTGCAAGGTTCGCCACTGTCTGACCTCTTCGTGATTGTCCTCTTCCAAGGCTTAACATGCAGGAAAAGAGGTCTTGGGTTGTCCTTCGCGGGACATCTGTGTTCTCTCCGTGATCGGGCTCAGTGTGTCAAATTCTTGGTCCTAGAAAAAAAAGTTCAGGTGCGGGCTAGTATAAGGTTGTTAGCTTCATGCAAGATCTGCAGCCAGAGTTTAGTGAGTACACGAAATATGTTGTGCTTCAAAACGTCGCACCGTGTTTCTTTTGGTAGTCATATTTGGTTGATTGGTCGATTTGGGATCAGGCAGCGCTCCATCTCCTCAGCCTGCCAGTGTCCAGTGTTAACGTTAAAAGGGCATTCTCGAAGCCCAGGGTCACTAACAGGAAAGAATGAGCGTGGATGAACGAGGAGAACCTGGGAAAGTACATATGTGTTTACAATAATAAGATCCCGTGATCCTGATGTACAGAAGGTGAAGTTTCATGTTTCTTGGGCACTGACTTGTTTGTACTTCTGTATGTGTGTTATTTTTCTTTTTTTTTTACAGTTGCAAACGTTTGCAAAATAAAGTGTCGATGTTTTTTTGTTTTATTTTCAATGTATTTGTGGCGTTATTCCTTGAGGAATCACATATATCAGTTACAAGGATCATGCGTCACACGTAAGAAGACGTCGAACAACAATACAGCAAACTAACGTCTGGCATCTGATCCGGTGTCCGATGAAGGTTCTTTCAAATTCACCGAAAAAAAAAACGGTAAACTTTTGAAAGCAGAAATATACCGGAAAAAAAATGAAACTTAAATAAAACACCGAAAAAAGTACGCCGAGATTTGATAATGTAAAACGCGAAAACGCTTAACCTTAGTTATAAGGTCACCTGACGTAAAGTTTCCGCTAAATCTAGCGAGGAAATTGGATTGGTGCATAGGACACCTAACGTAAATTTTCTGCTCAATGTATCGGGTAAGCCGAATTAGTCCATAGGTCGCCTGACGTAAATTGTCTCGGCAAATTTAGCGAGGAAATTGAATTGTTGCATAGGTCACGTGATGTAAAATTTTCCGCGGAATTCAGCGGGGAAACTGAATTAGTGCATAGGTCCCATGACGTAAATTCTCCGCTAAATTTGGCGGTGGAACGTATTTGAGGCCAGAACACACACCTAGATGAACATCTTTAGTAGTAACTTAATAACGCTATCGCATTAAAAAAGAAAGGATGCCATACCCCTGTCAGACGGGCACGTTAAATGACATTTAAGCAAAATGACATTACAGCTCGGCCAATCCGCGTCTTTAATACGCCATGCTGCCCGTGCACGCGCCACGCCTAGAACCAGGATCACGAGCTGATTCACCCAGCGGTGAATGACATTCGATCAAAATTACATTTCTTTCCCGTCTGACAGGGGTATTAGACTATTGGTTGCGCGCTCGTGCTTACCGTGCCGCTCTCTGTACAAGCGTGCGCGAACTCTCCCCGCCAGCGTGGCACTCCGTGGGTCGGAGTCGGTCCTTGCGGCTGCGGCTGCCGGGGAGTCGTCGGACTTCGTTCGCCTTGACGAGTCCTCCGCCGCTGCCGGAGGCCGTGTCCGAGGAGACCTCGGACGAGACCCTGGCCCTGCGGCCCCTGGAGCCCACGGCCGAGGAAGCCCCCGGAGACTGCACGCCCGCCGCCCCCGTGACCCCGAGGACGGCCGTTCTAGCCCTCTGCGACCGCACCAGGGAGCTGCCCTACCGCGCCGGTGAGGGACGCCGTATTTTGAGCGCATGTTGAAACTATCTGCGCGACGACGTCTTCATCACGAAACGTTAACAATTTCGTGAGTAAACATTAAAAAAAAAAAATCCGCATCGTTTTGTTGTTGCGTGCGATAAAGCGGCAGCGATAGTTGTTATTGCACGTACAATCACTGATAAGGTGAAAACGGCAGGGAGGATCTTCGGTTGTCCCGCCTCCAGCCAGCTTCTCGCCTTCGACGATGCTGCGGCGTCTCGTGCACCTCGAGCGCGTGCGGGCGCAGCCAAAGCACGACGGAAGGTATGGAGCGCGTGATGGAGGCCGGGCGTTCTAGGCACACGCCCTGCCGTTCTCACTCTGTCAGTGACTATAGCAACGCCCACTTTTATGCATTTTCACTTTTTATTTACCCAATCACATGCAACACTGCCTCGTGGACACTGGAGAATCTAGGAAAGGCAACATACTGTACACATGGGTCAACTTCCCTGCCTAAGACTAACTCGGGACAGGTATACCGTTTCAAGGGGTGCTTGGCGTTACATCTGATAGCACCTACAAATTGAGTTCCACCATAACCTCCACTGTACTCACAAAGCCTGGCAGTTGGACGACGGAACCATAGAGTGCCCGGTCGCGGATTTGGAGCGCGAGGATCTGGTAGTACAGAGCATCAAAGAGCGTTTTCTCGGAGAACCTTGACGTCAGCGCACAGCTTTTGCAGCGGTGAGGACCCGAAACACACTTGTTCGCTCGGGAGAATTGTGTTTCGGCGTCTCGCCGTATCGGGGTGCCTGTCACGTGGCTCTTCTCACATCCGTCGTGTGTCGCTCACTCTTTTCTATTTCGGCAGCCGCTTCTCGTGGCGATCTGCCAGGCTTTCAGTATACAGGAGGCTATAATTCTACAGTGAGAAATGCTAGCGGCGTCCCCCCCAACCGTAGAAGTATACTGTACTCGGAAAAGAGGCGCGCGAATCAAGTCAGTCGTACCCTACGCAGCGTGAAGTCACTCAATCCTGGGAAAGTAGCGTCAGTACCTCGCCAGCCTGCTAGCCGGACACAAACAGAGACTAGCATGCAGACGACCAAACCGTCGCAAGGCGATTGGCTGATCGGTCTCTGCTGCCATGGCGATCGCCGTCTCGGTTATACAAATGTTCGAAGCTTCGAAAGGGTCGTCCTGAACCAGTAGTGCCAAGTCCGCTATGGAGCCTCATTGTACTGAAAGCGTTCCTCGCCAATAAAAGCGTCTTTAACACTGTGTATCCAAGCAACTTATACCTAGGGCTTATCTCCACAATTTTTTTTACAATTATGTTGTTCTTCTTGCGTATCTTTATACGGGGAAACTGTTTTTCCATGCTGCCAAGCACCGAAGTGGCGCGCCTTTTTCGCCGGTGTGTGGAGAACAAAACCTTGTTCTGCAAGAAGTATCTTATAAACGCACCATGTCACCGCAAATTTGAATCGGCTCACCAAGAATGGAAAGAAGAAGAAGGAACTGCTCGTTCCATGGACCAAAATGACGACCGTACTGGGAGCTCGGCTCTGCTTTCCTAGGATCCAATGACTTAAAGTGTTAGCGCACCCCTCAACCCCCTCCCTCACACCCACACGCACACACACGCACAGACAATCAGTGGGGCGCTACGCCGTTGGCGGCGCGCGCTACGACGTCAAACGAATAGCTGCGCTTCGTTTCTGATACCCTCTTCCACGGCCTTGTTACGGCGCAACCAAAACCACCAGGAGCAATCAGTGTCCGTGGAGGGTTCCGTTGTAAGGCTGTCGCTTTAAACATTTTGAGTGAGCTCGAACACAGTCTCCTGCGCGTACAAAAACACATGTCCATGGTTCACCAGTATGAGTTATCGCGACTGTTGCAGCTGGATGTGCTGCGCGTGAAAGCTCTCCTATTAGAGCAAGACGGGGCGCCCTTCTGTAGAGTTCTACCTCCGCAACTTTTCCATGAGCAGCGTATTATTTTTTCTGCGGGTAACGAGCAAAGTACTCCGTTAACATGTCGATCCCTAACGACTGATGTACTAGTTACCATGTGTGTGGGTAACTTTTTAGTTCGTGGGCTGGTTCTAACACAAAAGGAAAGATAGAAGAAGAAAGCTGCGCACGACAACAAACAGGGAGACATGCGCCAAGAACGAACTCGGAGTTAACGCGCACGCCTCCACAAAAGTTTGCTCTTCAGCTATGTGACTGTTAATATATTTATTTGGCTGCCATGTCAGACAGCGAAGAATTTATTATTTAGTTATATAGGTCACCAAATTAATATAAACTATCTAGTCAAAGTTTAATGATTAACGAGTAACTTATTTGATTACTGTGTCAGCGAATAGCGACATCTTTGTTGATTTGAGACAAGCACGTACCACGCTGGTTCGCGGGTAGCTACTAGAGTGCAGATATATTATCTTCCTACAAATACGTGCCGTCATGCATTTATTGTTTATGTTAAGTATAGGCTACCCTAGATGTGTTTCAATTACCAGAAAGCACCTCGCCACAGGGCAGTGTTTCTCGGAGGGCTTCGAGGATGGTTTAGATGACTGTTCCTAAGCCACCCGGAGCAGAGTTGGGCTTCCCCTTGGATACACAGCGACTGAGGGGAAGCCCCATTCGTGTGAGTAGCGTGGAGGGACCCAAAGCACCTTTACGTTGGTCGCGACCGCGGGCATTGTTATGGCGCTTGCAGATGAGACTTTGAAAATGATTCTTCAAACCTTTAACTGTGCTTTGTAGCCTCCATCGCTAGATATCTGAGCTGCTTTCTCAAATACCTGTTAAGTAAAAGTACTCATGTTGTGTGTCTCTTTAGACGGCAAAAAAGGTAGTCGCCCCTATTTGGCGCTTGACCCGTTCGTTCGTCATTAAACACTTTGCCAGTGCAGTCTGTTAGCCGGGGGCCTTTAGCGTGCATCAGGCAGTGGGAATACATGATCGCACGCCAGTATGATGCTTATTCAGGTCGAAACGGGCAGAAGTGGGGTTGAGCTAAGGATCCTTCGGTTCTTCAGCGCGAGCTTTCGCTCCACGTGCTTCATGCCGCGGCGCGTTTAAACAGTCGGACACCGACATTTTAACGATGCCTCGTTTTATCAAGTATTTTATACAGTATTTCTTTCATCGCAAGTTTATCTCATCGAAGGACCACACGCGAACGTCTTCACGAGGTTGTTTTCCGTCAGTGGCTTGGGCTACCACGATTTGCTGGTAGTGCCCTGACACTGGTGGAAGGCAAGAATCATCTAACAGTTGCGCACGTAAGAACAAGGTCAATAAATCGCATAACTCGTATTCATGAAGCCCAATCAACAACATATTTTCTGCCCAGCCTCGATAAACATTTTCACACTCCCAGGGTATGTCGTTATACGGCAATTTGATCGGCTAATTAAAATTCCTGATAATCACTGTTTTTTTTAACCTTTCATCGCCTAACCTTTGCTGGATGATGAAAAGACACTTCTTGATTCCCTTAAAAAATATGCGTCCTTGTTACTGTCGAAAGATCGCTTACAGCCGCTCAACTAACAAGCATATATACGATGGCCGGCTGCAAGTGTTCATTGACAGCTCGACGAGTTCCACCACCGAAACTTTCATAAAGGATTTCGTCATACATGAAGCCGACAACGAATGACCGCGCCGTCTCTTAGTTTCGCAGGAAAGTCAACGACAGCGAATCTAAGATCGGTCTTAGATGCGCTTCAAGACTTTATTTCTTGTAAGACTATCATATTTATTAATACAAACACGATAATTATCAAATTGCGCTACCTAAGTTTGACCGTCAAACCAGGCTCCTTTCTTGGCTTAATGTGTGGCTTGGATAATTTCTAATGTAATTTAATTACATTTCAGTAGTATTTTGCGCAGTAACTAGTAATCTAATTTAATTACAAAATAAAAGTAACTTGACCAGCTCAGCTTCCGTGTAATGTCATCCCATGGATGGCCCCAACTCGAAAGTAATAATAATAATAATAATAATAATAATAATAATAATAATCGTTTATTTTCGAATGCTATTAAGTAGTATTTACAGGCATATCAAAGTTATCAAAAGCTTGTAAAATGACGCCCATAAAAAATAAACGTGTCTGTTACTTTAAATTGTAAGACAGAAAGTCGAACCATAAAAAGAAAAAGCACGAAAGGCTTTTAGTGAAAGTAAAGTTGAAGGAAAAAAAATTTAAATTAACCTAATTACAGTTCGAATTTGAAACGTGCAGACACAGAAAGAGGCGCTAAATGAAATCACAGTTAGTACACTTGAGTTTCTTTTTTACTTGTTTCAGTGATGTAATGTCAATGAAAGCGTCTGGGAGGGCGTTGAACAAACACGGAACGTCGTAACCCCAAATACATTTGCCCTGTCTGGTCGAACAAAGCGGCACTACAAAACGAGGAACACGAGGGTGTATTCGAAATGGCAGACAGGGTGTTTTAAAATCATTGTTCCAAAAGCTACGGAGCACTACCGTTTGAATAAAAATGGAACGCAGATTAGCTAACTGAAGACTTTGAAGGATATCGGTGTTGCTAAAGAAATTAGCATTATATGCAACGCTTCTCAGGACTCCTCGCAATAAAGAATTAACTTGGATCGCCAGGGACACATACAGTTGCCAAACACCACAACACAGTACTCAAGAATTCTGTAAGCAATCTAGTGGGCGGTTGTTAATCTGGCACCTACAGGCGTAAAAACTTAGCGTTATAAAACAAACGATACACAGTTCGTAATTCGCACCAAATGTGACGTCTGTGTGTTTCATGTAATATCAAAATCACAATGGACATTCGAGTATTTCACGTGATTGACGAACTCGATGGATACACAGCTGCAGTGAGCACGACTGGAAGGGCGAAGAATAAGCTTTACTCGAGCCCGATGTCTTTTAAGAGGTTTATAAAAACGGACCGTTTGTGTCTAGGAGCTTGTCAGCGAACCATTCCATTAAATGAGTGGCGTTTGTTTCGAGTACGGGGAGTGAATCAGGAAGATTAAATTTGGCGTGACACAAAAAGTGTATCCTCGTCATATTGGTAAATTTGACGCCCTGTGATAACCTGAACCTGGGTCCTATGCCATTAACAAAATATAGAAAAGTAGAGAGAACAGAATAGAACCCTGAGGCACCCCTCCCGCCCACGAAGAAAACCGAGAACTTTTAAAGCTTCCGATTTTATACAAACTGAGACCGTCTAGATGGAAAGTTTTCTAGCGAAGAATAAAATGCGCCGCGAAAAAAAAAAGAATTTGCCACGTCGACGCTGGTGCTGGTGCTAAGACGAGTTTCGTGCTCGTCTTCAAATCAAGTTCGATTTCAGCCGTCGCTTACAGGTTCCAGACGAATTTCCACCACATTCAAAAACGAGCACGAGTCTATCGGCCCTTGGTTAACAAGGCTCTGAGCCAAAGCGCGCGGGAGCCTGTGTATGTGACAGAGATAATAAAGGTTGGTTGTCACGAGGCGATAACAAATCGCGTGATATTTTTATCACACGCGTCTGCCATGTTGGCGTGTATACGTCCGAACTAAAACGAGTATCTTTCAAACGATAATCGATTGTTGTTTTGAGTACATGTTTAAACGCTCGTCTCAGTTGGTTACCGCAAACAAAGCTATTTTTAGTATTCCGACGTGCTCCTCGGTGGAACTGAGGAGCCTTAACAAAGAGCCGGTTTCGAGTCGAACGCAGGCCCCCAGGCTCCAATCTTTAGGTTTCTTTGTTTAGCTCCTTTCCCTCCGAGCGAACGGCGTCCTCTTGTTAAGTATTTACGTGGAGCTCACGATACGTTCCTTTGGGAAGTCCTGTAATTAACTTGTAATTCACCCAATTGCCGCGTGAATGCAGGCTTCTCGACTTGAGTACTTCTTGACGTTGTTCGTTTAGATGCTTTTTTTTTTCTACGACTGTTTGGCTTATTTGTGTGAAGCATAAGCCGCAAGAAAAAAAAACAGGAAAACTCCTTGATTTGCACTTGGTCAAACTGCGATTAATTTCCTTAGGGCATAGGCGGATTGATTTCTCATTATTTCTGTTTTGTTAAGTTATTCACATCTTGCGACGAGATGAAGGCGGATAGATGGACTCCAAAACACAGATTTTAAGTAGTACGTGCATACTAATTAAAGTACCAAATTATTTAGATGGTATTAAAAAAAGATATATTGCAATATATGTAGTTAAACTGAAAGCTAGTATATATCCTAGCAGCACAGAGTTGGCCAATCATTGGCCAACGGCTGACAGTGGTCCTTGGCCAAGTGGCCAGACAGTGGCCGGAGACTGGCCGGTGACTGGCCTTTATCTGGCCATTGGCCAATGGCCACTGGCCATTAGCCATCGGCCGAGCATTGGCCAATGAATTGCCACTCTCTGGCCACTGGCCAAAAGACCATCGCCAGACATTGGCCACTGCTTGGCGAAAATCTGTGCTGCTTGGAGTACGGCAGGCTGAATATATATTTTCGTTCTTGAGGGTTTCTACATTGCGAATTTGATCGCGACCAGGTGGGTGATACCACGTCTGAAGCGTTATTTTCTGGCAGATAACTGCGCTTAATAATCTAATGTAACAAATATAAACGGGAGCATTCCTGAACAGGAAGTCAAGCTGGGCAATGTTAAAGATTATTTTGATTTAGTGATGTAGTAACCCTCTGGTGCAATGACTTAGACAAGGAAAAGGGGGCTGCTCGGTTTTGCATGGATTAGAGATGGATGATCGCAGTGCCATGCAAACAGAGGCGATGCAAATTCGCTGAAAAAAATAAAAAGAGAAAATTGAAAGTGGTCTACCTTGTGCCAATACAAACTAGTATCTATCACTTCAGTCAAATAGCTCACCGCTCTAAGATTTTGTACAGAGGTGGCCTAAGATGGTGCATTTTGTGCATCATAATATCAGTGAACTAGTTAATTACTTCAGTAAAGAGCAAAACATTACGAGCGTGAATTCGCTAGCTTTAGCGGCAGACTGAAAATAAAAGAGGTATGGGTGACGGAACAGTCGAGAAATGACAGCAGGTCTTAGCACATGGTAGAAAAATTTCGACAAATAATCTTTCTTTTTGGAGTCTATTCAGTGTATTTTATTAGTAACGTAACAAAAATTATGCACTATGCCGAAAAAGCGCGCGTCGCATTTTACTCAGAACATCATCTGCTATTGAAGTTCAGAGTTTGCACCCTCGTTGTTACCCGCCTCCACGTGTTCGCTGTTTCCCTTTTCAGACACCTTTTGTCATGGCTCCATAGGTTATTACAGCCGGCACCCTCGGAGATTATGTCATTGTTAGCAGACGAACGTTGTAGGTAGCGAAATTAGGTCTTTAACATGTTACTTTTTGCTCATCTAAAAATATTCTTTGAAATTTTGACAAAATAATTAACCATTTTTGGTCACCTTCGTACAAAATCTTAGCGTGATGCTTGAAGGAACCAATTTATGCGGTCCCTTAGAAGCTCCAACAATCCATTTAACTCACACAGTAAGTGATGTAACATAGCCACGGCCTCTTATGAAGTATCTTCCAACAGTGGTCGAATGAAATGTCCGGTGCAAAAAAAAAAAAAAAAACAACCACGTATGCGCTCGTGGGCTTTTTCGTATTGCTATGCCTCTGGACGACTAGGCGTGTGTTCTGTGTGTGCGTATCTGTGTGTGTGTTAGGGCGGAGGGAGGAGGGGGGTGTGGAAGCCCTTCAACTTTAATTAGGTTTTCAACATGTGTGAAACTGAACTGAAAAAGGCAAATACAATTTGTTAAAACGGTAAAACGAATTTGAGGTTTGTCTACCGTGCAGAAGACGCGATCTCCCACGGGGTGGCAAAAACTATCCTCTCTCCAGAAACTTTTCAGGTGTCTTGTTCAGCTTCAATTGAGCTTCTTAAACTTCCAGTTTCACGGCCGTACATGTTTTTGGGAAAACTAAAAGCAAAATATGAAACACAGGCTGTTTCTCTCTTTTTGTTTTCCTCTTTCTATTTTATTTTTGTTCTCCACCAGTTGCGGGGTTTAACATCATGTTCAATATGCACCAGCTCGCCTGCTCTCTAAGCATTTTTTTTTTGTAAGATATAAGTTACCTTAACAAAATTAGAGACTTATTAATAAAAAAAATCTATGTCATGACAAGATCGTGCCTTCCACACCCAGCACCTGTACGCTGGCTTACACGACCTCTCACCATATTTTAATGGATAAGATTTAAGTAGCCCATCGACATCACTGTACACTCTCGCCCATTTGAAGAAATGGCGAGGACACCGGCGAGCGGATGCAAGCCTAACGCAAATTGAATTAGGGAACGTAGCACAGAAATGTATAAGCATAAACGATACACTGACTAAATTTGTCAACTACAGCATAAACCGGTGTCGCTCTATAGGTGCCCTGACACTGCTTTACGGGAAAGCAAATTAGACACTAACGTCGAATTTGCTTTTGGCTAGAATAGTCAACTGCAGTAGACCCTTTTCAAGACTGCGCGCCACCTACTAGCTCCTGCATCAATCATCTGAGTCCGCCATCGTTTGGGCACATGCTCTGAGCATGTATTGGTCACGCTGTGTCAGCGTCCGACGAGAACTCGAATCCCATAACACGCTTCGTGCCAAAAATAATGCGACCGCCAGTGTTGCTGGATGAACTTCTGAAAAAAGTTTTATTGTATTGTAGAACTATACTTCGTTTCGCCTTAAAGACCGACAACCAGTTCGTGCTTTCCACTTTTCTTCCGCTCCCTCCTCTCCCCCCTTCTACTTTGTCCACCGTTGCGTTTCCCCCTCCCCCAGGGTGAGGAGGATCTTCTGCCTTGCAGAATCTCGTGTCTGGTCGTCGGCCTTTAAGTCTGATTGCAGCTGATGCTACGAGCCGATAGGGAGAATCAAGCAGCCCTAAAAGCGCAAGGTCACGACGTTCCTAAGCTTTCTTTGTGCGTGTGCTATCATCAACGAGACCAATCGAGCGTGTTGAATGCGCAGTGACCTTGCGCCTTTTTCTGGTGTGTTTGTGTGCTCCAGCCTTTGCTGCGACCGGACTTGGAATGAAATTACGTATAAGTGACATGAAAACGATTTAGAGCTCTATGACCAATCTGCCTTTCATCCATAGTCGGTGGCAGTTAAAGCGTTCAGTGGAAGCTCCTCGCTTCTCTTTCCTCTTTGGCAGAGGATACGCTGGAGAGTGGGTCGCCTCCTCTCCAGCGTTAGCTCTGCCAAAGTGGAAAGAGGTGGGAGGAGCTTTTTCTGAATCCAAATAAATCAAAATAATTTATGCATCTTTTTAACATAAAAATAAGAGGAAATCTGAGGAAAAGAAACTGATTGAGCAGCTTGATAAAGTGCATTTGAGTAGATGAAAGACAGTGCACATGACACTTTTAACCTGTCACCGATAATAGTAATAAATATTCATTGGGGATCGATGGTCCTTGGCGCAGCCAACAGCGTGGGGCGACCCTTCCCCAACGCTTCTTCGGAGTCCGATTTGGGCAGGTTCCTGATCACGGGTTCCGGAGGCGTTGGGATGTCCACGGCCCGGGGTGCCACGCCCCCCACCAGGGCCAAGTCCCCGTCCCTGAGCCAGGTGACCGCAGATCCTCGCAAGGACAACTCCCACTCATCGACGGCCTCCAAACTGGTCCTCAAGGAGGTCACGTCGCACGGCTTCAAGCAACACGTCGGAGAGAAGGTAGCACAGGTGAGCGAGTCATCCCCTTCCCAGAGCCCTCAGAAATCTCCAGGAGTGCGTCTCTCTGTCAGACATCCTGAAATTCTGGGACGCCGTGGTACGTTTTTAGAGGATGCTTGGCTATGGTGTAGTACAAGGTATATTAGAGACAATCACAATATCCAAGTGTAGACTTTGACCCGTTCCCGGTGCGAACTCTGCCCTGAAAACATTTTTCAGGTAGTATATTTTACCTGTTGACGTGTCTTACACTGAAGTTAAAGCAGGCAGGCAGGGCGAGCTGGTTCAAGATAGACATTTCTGTCCGTCCTTTTTGTTCCCTTGCTCCAGGGTTACCATGTCGTGTCTTATATCATTAAACTGGACTTCAAGGTTCAGCAAATCCATGGCTATGTTTTTAGTTACTTAATTTTTTTTCAGTCTTGTTTCTTTTTGTGTGACAACCATTGTCTTCCTTCTTATATTTGGGTTACTTGAGGATATAGCTACATTGAATTCCTTTAACTTTTAGAATCATCTTCACTGAGATACGGTAGTGTTGACTACAAGGTTTTATATTTAAACGGATTAGCTTTCTTTGAATATTCGGTGTTCTCCTGATCTTAGGTCGAGTAATACCAGAAAGCTTTGATTTTCTGGGTGTCCTCATGCACGTTTCGGGGCTTACGCTATTGGAGACATATGGTGAATATGTGCTTATCTGTAGACTCAGTTCAGTGGAACTAGCACTCGATGAGCGTCCTTATATGCACTTTACGTTACTTTAATGTTTACTAACTTGGTGTGACTCAGTCGACAATCGGTGCACTCTTCCAGCATCGATGTTCATGACGTGTACCTTGTGTCAATGTTTTTGAGAAATTGTGGTATTTCGATAACCTGTTGCATGCCGACGAATTTTTATCCTGCTGGTACTGATGTGCTGGTACTGACGGCTTGGAGACTTCACAGGAACGGCCTTACGGTAGCTGCAAGAGGGTCATCGGTCTCCGGTTACGGACTTCAGCGCTGCTGCAACGGTTTTATGTGTCTGTTCGCTTCCTGTCGTCAATACGCTTAGACATGTTTTATTATCGAATTAAGGACTCAATCTCATTGTGCCAAGGTGCCTCTATGGTGCGTTACTATGTGTACGTCTATAGGCTTAGTTATGTAGTGCTTATATTTGGCAATTGTAGGGCTGGCACTCTTGAATGAAAAAAAAAGGTTGTCAGGTAGAAAAATCTAGCATCTAGGAACGCTTAAAGATATGCGGTATAACGGTAGCGGGGCATGCACCCATACTTAAGTTCCTCCACATTTTCCAGAGCGTCTTTATTACTAGCGTTATAGATGGGTAGGTCCCATATCGCCCTTTCTACAGATTTCGATTTTTAAATTATATTTCTAACTAAAAAATTTTTTATTTATTGGGATCGCTACTTAAATTGTCGGATTTCAGTCGCTGTCATTTCAGCCCTGTTTCGAACATACAATATACTTAGTGGGGACCGTATTTCTAGGTCACGCTTGCTTACATTCCCGAGCCCGTACGCGAAGAACGATTTAGGAAGCGTCCTTTATCTAGAGTTCACGATGTGCGCCACAATTCCCTAGAACATGCGCTTGAGCGCGCGTTCTTCTAAAATACAATCGCGATCACATTTGACTGCTTTTGTTACTGTTCTGGGAACAATCAATTTAATCACAACACTCTTTTTTTTTTTTTCACAAGGGTTGTAAGGAAGGTTTAAAGCAGACCTAATTTATACTGTCTTTCCGCAACACTAGCCCAGAAAGGTGCCCCAAATAGAATAGGTGTCATCTGAAGTGACGTGCTTAGCGGCGATAATAACAGTACTTCAGCTTAAGTGTCAGGCACTCGTGTCATGTACCTTTCGCTCTACCTAACCCTTCAGAGCAGCCTACACGATTGCGCAAATGAAGCGCAGCAGAACAAAACGCGTCCCCTATTAAGAGGACAGATTGGATGCGCTCCAAAGACATACGAATAAGTAAGAACCGTAAATCAAACTCGCGTCTAATACCGCTAATATCATCACAGATATTTATTTTGCATCTGCCTATCGCGGCTTAAAATTGTCTATCAAAATTCTCTTTGAAGCGTCTCCTAATTTAGTCGCCGTTCGGTGTAAAATGACAGAATCCGCACGGTCCTTCCGACCTCGTCCACGCACGTGTATCCTAACTCAAAAACAATACAAGAGCTTTCGAGGCTCAAGCGCTTTGCCCACTCGGGGGTTAAATCCGGCTTAGTGGATTAGCGCCAGAAGGATCTTCCTGGTTAATCCCCCGCGCCGGACACGAAAGGGGTGAGGGATCAATCGAGGCAGCTCACTGTTTCGAGAAATACATGCAGAGAGGCACCGCTGGACGTAGATTCAATTTTTTTATTATTATTATTATTATTATTATTATTATTTATCCTTCGGGACCGTTTTTACTACTCTATGTACGTAAGATTGGATCACAATGAGCACTTTTTTCAAAGAGGGCACATTTGATTTTCTTTTTTCCTCGTCATCTCGAACTTTTGGTAAGTTCCGTTGCCCAGAAGCTTTAGCGTCAGCTGTTTTATTCTGTGCTACTCGCGGATTTCTCCAATAGACCGATCTCACCAAGTGTCCGGCGCATTCGTGACGCGACCATAACTTTTGTTCGAGGGAGGCAGGCGGCAGCACTCGAGAAGCCTGGCGCCGTGTCGTGCTCGGCACGCGCAGTGCTTCAGCGAGGTGGTCCCTCGTGCAGACATATTAAAGTTCTCGCGATCCATTGCGGCAGCGGCGGCGTTACGAAGCTGACTGGTAATATCGGTTCGTTTTGTTGTGTGACGAAACTGTCAGCGAAATAATGTTTCATTCTCGGAAGCACGAGTGCTGAAGGTTCCGGATCATCCTCGCTGAATGTCTGTTTTAGAGTGCAGCTCTTAGGCGTCCGTTTCCGGGTTGAGAGGGGCGTCGGCATAATCGCGCTTTGCATTATGAGACGTTTCGCATAATGACGTCACACGTGACGTCACGTGTGACGTTACAAGGGTAACATTTTCCCGCTAAATTTGGCGAGAAAATTTTTCGCAAAATTTTTGCGACAAACTTTTCCGCGAAATCTAGCGGGAACGTTTTTCCGCTAAATTTAGCGAGGAAATTGACGTCACGTGACCTGAACACCAATTCAGTTTCTTCGCTAAACTTGTCGGGGAAATTTTCGCTTAATTGGGCGGGACATTTAGCCAAAATGTCCCGCGAAATCGGAGGGGAGCGGGAGAGGTGGAGGAGAGGGTACGGAGGGGGCGTCACTTTCAGAATTTAGCGTGTGATAGAAACCGAGTTTGAAACCACGCATCCGGCAACGCAGTGATTGGAATAAAATCGACATCCGGGGGAAGGGGGGGGGGGGGGGGGGGGGGAGACGCTGTCTCAACGCTCGTGTGCAAGCAGAGCCAGACGTGCACGGCTCGGATAACTAGCGTAGCTGCTACTAGATGGCACACGTTTGTAAATAACTTTGTTAATAACCGAGAACTGCGAACAAGTAGGGAGCATTTTATGCTCAGATAATTTATTTTTCGTGCTTTGAGCATGAACCACAAACCGACAGGCGTAAGTCTGCATATTATTTGTAGTACAAAACAGGCAAGTTTTCCCGCGTGGTGTACCTACCAAACATCAAGCAAAGTAACTTTTTTTTTCCTTAAAAATAAAATAAAACATCTACGGCAGAATCCGCTTCTCTCCTACCGCCTCTAGTGTTTTTTTCCCCCATCGGGAAGTCCAGGTTCGCTGATTCTCCACGGTGTGTCGCTCCCAGCCCAGCGTGCGCATAGAGAACCCATATTTTAGAGAGGGCGCAATTGAATCCATGAAGAGCGCTTGCAATTGAATTGCGGTACTCCAATGAGAACATATAAAATAACCTTAAAAAAAGAGGAAAAACTACTGCACACGTGCATTTTCGAGGGGCGAGTAGCATATAGGGCTAAGAGCAAGTGAGAGAGGCCCTCGCCTCCACCGTTTCTCGCCTCATAGTGCAAACGCGATACCCATAAACCACGTGACCCCAGTCAAGCAGTTGAAACCGCTCTCAAATCGGGGCACACCATGTGCTCGCCGCGATGGATTCGCATTCTGTAGAACGCCGTCGATCCAGCGGTATAGCTGTAAAGACTACGGCCAGCCCCACGGGGCCGGGCTCTCTATCCGTGTATGTGTTTATTTCGTTCCACTTGGCTGCGGGCCCTTTTGCGCTGGATCGATGTGATGTGCCCCTCTCCTCGTTCCCCCTCTCGAGTGGCGCCCAAACGCCGAGGTTGAGGGAACGAAGCCGCCGCTACCCGCTTCTGATGCGTAAACAACGGGACGGAAGACGCCGCTGCCGCCGCCTATGTTTTGACCCGGGTTCTTTTGTTCGTCTCTCAGTCTCTCTCCTCTCTCTGGAAGTCTCAGACTTCGTCTGCGGTTACGTTGAAGTCCGACAGATGGAGCTTCCTGGAAGAGGTTGTGGAGAATGTTAAATGATTGCTGGTGCCTAACAGTGTACTTGATTTTTTATTTTTTTTTACTATGGTGCAATAATTTTGAGTTTAGAAGTGTACCTTTAAAAAGGTTTAACCTTACTGTCTTGTGTTAACCGCGGATTAGTAAGTAGTTAACAATAAAATCTTTGGATAGGCGGCGCAAGACGCCGCCCCATTAATAGGGTTCAGCCGTGCCCATCCATTTACAGAGGATTCCAGTAACAGGGGCGGGACGACGGACCGCTCTTGCAGTGTTTTCAGACTACGAAACTGAGACTGGAACACTGTTGGCACAAGGTTCTAGAGAGTGAAAGATAGTATTTCTTAGCTTTTTTTTACTAGTCTTTGCTAGAAAACAAAGTTTCCTTGGGGTCTCCGGCTTCAAAGGGAAAAGTATTATCATCATCAGTATTATCGCCCATCATCATTAATGTTGTAAAGGAAAGGGAGAGACAAATTTAGACGGCAATACTGGAGAAGCCATCAGCTTGAGAAATCTACACAGCAAATAAAATTGAAATTAAAAACGAGGTAGGAGGGTATGTATTATAACTATAGAGGAAGTGCATTATTGTCTGAGGATAGGGCAGAGATTTTTAGAACTGGGACGTACAGGGTTAAATACCGAGAGGGGGATGCAACATGCATTATATGAGGGAAGAGGATTGAAACGCCAGAACATTTCAGGTAATGTGAAGGGCCCGGTTACCCAAGGACAGCACGTGAAATAAATTCAATGAGGACGGTGAAATAAAAGAGTTTTTAAGAGTAGATTTGCCTAAGTAAGAAAAGATTGCAGAAATGGTGGTTAATGTCTAGGGAGGAATAAAGAGTTACTCGGATTAGAATGGCTTAAACAACATGAAACGGAGCAAACGAACTGTTGTCGACTTTTTCCACACGTGTTCAGTGATTTGGAGTAGCTTTACAACTGTAAACTCTGCGCATATGCAAGTGTGTAGCTAGTATTATATAGACAGGCTTGCCATTCTTATTCTAAAATATACAAAGTTGGTTGATACAGCATGCACTCTCACGTTACGAGCGATGTGTGATGCATGAATGAATACATCCTACGAGCTGCCCAGCGCGTAAATATTACTGTGCACACTCTAGCTGCGTATTATTTTAATTTTCTTTAGCATGAAGGCAGCATCGACCTATACGATCTTATTGACAAAATCAGAACTATCCGGACAAGTCTGTCAGCAGTTCTTGTTCTATGAGCTGGTGTTGATTCCAAATTTTCTAAGAAATATGCCAACGTCAAACGAGCCTCCCTCATCTTTATTTTTACTTTTTTTTCTTGCTTCTTTTGTGTGCGGCGACCTTCGAAGTGTCACTTTTTGCTTAGGAGGCATGCATGTCTTATATCTGGAAAATTTACCTCGCGAAGGACACAAAACAAGGTAAGAGGTTAGTAGTGATGCTAGACAAACGGCATTACGACATGCTCAGCCTTGTCAAATATACAATGTGTCAATCTGTATCGGCAGTGTATTGCGTTGTTTGTAAACGAGTGTATGTGCTTTCGATTATTGGCACTTCCGACCACCATAACACCGTGATTTTTGTGGGTGGTTGCGTGCCCCTGTAAGTCTCTGTGGAGCTGAAAGGCTTTTGGTTCGGCTCGCCTCTAATCACGCCGGCTTTCTCTGTTCTTCGGTCATCGGCGAATGTTTGTGGGCCTCACATGGCTGCAGCTTCTTGCTCGGGCCCGCAAGGCTACCGTTGCTGCATGCCTCGCAGGCCGCCCGTCGACATCGGTCAGCTGCGAACAGCGTGTAGCATGCACGCATCACGGCCCTGACTGGACTACGAAAGTCCGCGAGAGCTTCCAATTAGCGTCGATACCCGAACACCCGCTACGCAGTAGCCCGGCGGGAAACGTGGGATCCCGTGTTCCCGAGTGCGAGCGAGCGAGCGGCGCGGCACAGATTTGAAGATCCTGCGTAGAATCTGAAGAGCCACCTGAATTCTCGCTTAAACATTGTAGGGTTGTCATTACCTCGTTAAATCTCTGAGGAACAATAATTAACCCATCACTCAAATCATTTATTTATTTATTGACCTACTGTTAAGGGCTGTAAGACGGACAGGCTTGAGACCGGGTTGGGGCTATAGGGGGACTATGTTTTATTGGAACATAAGATTATGGTTGCGTCCGATGGTAGGTCCCATTCCGTCTCCACCGCGCAAGTCCGCGGGTCCCGCTTTAATAGCCCCGGTGACGTGGCGATGTTGCGTCACCGGCGGAATTCTGGTGGTGGCTGCTGGCTTCGATGAAGAGGAGGTCCAACAGCCACTCTCATTGGCCCGGAGGTTTATGTCGCCGCAGCAGCAGCTTCTCTAGATGTGGGAGGAAGAGGAAGACGAAGACCCGTTGATGTCGTTCACTTCAGCTGATGTTCGAAAGCCTTGGTTCCGGGTCTTCGAGAGGGTCTCTGCCGAGCGATGGTGTTGCGGACGGTCCCTGTAAGTGTGCCCCAGATGGAGCACGGTCTCGCCGGGGTGTGGAACGTAACAATACATACTTAATAGGACAAATGCCGAGGGCCACGCAAGTAGCCAACAGGCGTTGGTTCCACAAGGCCATATCCCCGGTCTTCTTCGCAAAACGGCAGGGTTAATAAAGCCCAGAACACACAATGTGCTCGTATTTTTTAAACAGTGTGCATACAAAACACAAATAACTCGTTAATGGAGGAACAGAAATGATGGACATATTGGTTTGCACACCTAGTTGTCAAATTTTCGACCATTTTTTCTATAGTGTCAACGTCTTGAGAAACAAGCAGTATTGACCGCTCTGGGTATACTCATGTGGGTGGCGACGTCAGCAGCCTTCTCCAATTGTATCCCATCACTCGCAGCGTCGCTGCTCATCCACCAACGGAAGTGACCGGTGCCTTGTAAGTCACCTGGGAAGTGACGGCAGCAGCCGTCCTTCATTGGCAGGTAGCCAATCCAAAGGCAGATTTCTCGGATTGGCCGCCTGCTTCTAGTCCCATCGTGTGAGATGTCTGTCGCTCTCACCGGATTATGTCAATACGTGTTCTGTCTCGTTGCTTCAAAGCATAGCTAGCAGCCATTTAGGAGAAATAGACTCGCAGTTTGGTAGAACTTTTCTGCCCTGTCAGAAATATTTTCAGGACACGACAATGGGGACATACCGGGTCTCCACTTTATGCCGCAGTGTTGAAATCTCCGCCTTACTGCCTCAGATTTCCCTCCGAGTCGTTCAGCTTAGAGGTCTGGTGTGTGGTCGATGGACGTGTCAAGACTGATACATTAGTTTGCTGACGTCCTCCTCTCGCAAGTGCTCTTGAAGCAACGTCACCAAGCTGTACTGCAGAACGCATGTAATTGAGAATTGAGGGGAACCCTCGGCAAATGACAGGTCGTTGTCATGCTGGCTTGCAAGCCAGGTCTCAAAGGTTACGACGTCCCGTTCTCAAACCTGGTTTAAAGCTTGACCCAGGCATTGCTCTCTTTTTCTGGCTTTCGCAGGAGTTACGGGGATCACTATATACAATCTCATGACTGTTTCAACACCTTTGGGTTACACCTGTGACTAGGTTACACAGTGTTTGACGGCGAGCGCTGGTGATTGCACCGCGGCAGTGAATGAAGGTGAAGTGCCTCACTCCCGGCTGCAACCTATCACCCTGCACGCTAAGGCCGCATGATAGATTTTTTTTGCACACATTGTGGTTATTATTTACCCACCGATTATTGCAAGCTGTGGAAAAAGCCGAGTGTAATGGTCACTAGAACTAAGTTTGTGGCTCAAACATGGGTTCTGGTGTATTCAAAATTATCTTTTGTTCCCGATAGGATGTCTAAATTCACTACAAAATAAAGGTACTTCTATCCAGTACGGGGATTAACTACACCAGTCCACGCAGGGGAACGAGATCACGTATAACCACCGTTCCAGCCCAGATGGCATTCCTGAGCTTTCAGGCCACGTCCGCGAGTTCGGTACTCCAGGAGCATTACAGGGAAATATAAGAGCAAGCCTATACTGCCTACCCTTTAACGAGCAGTCTATTTTCGACGGAATGAAAGAGATAATAATAAAAAAATAATAAATTACTTTAACCATGTGAAGAGTGACATCTTAACAATCGGATATCGAATATCGAAGTGCTGCAGGAAAGCAACGAGTTATGCCCTGAAGAACTGGTCTGCTTATTCCTAGGTTGGCAAAGGAGACATTGCAGGAGTTATCATTAGCAAGCAAGACATAACTCGAGAAAACTCATTCCTTATAAAAGTACTCACCTCCAAGCATCTGGGCATCCGTATTGAATGTATGTTTTGGGTGCTCATCATGCTTTTGTGTTTGAGTTCACAAAAACAAAAGGCGTTAAGGTAAATTCCCTTTCACGAGTATGATACATGCTCGTTGATCTGTATCTTTTCACATTTTAGAAGGTCTGTTTTTGCAGGTCGTTGGTCTACGCCAACAAAGTGATAACGATGCGTTTATGAACGCAGCTTCAACCTCTAGTTAAACTTTCTTCTCACATTTTTTTTTTTTTTTGTAATTCTAAACTTACAGGATTGAACAGCTTTCCCCGTCGTATGGAACTATAAACAAAAGTTATCAACAAGCACCGTCGGTTCAACGAAAGTTGAACAGGTTCATGTACGATTTTTTTTGCTGAGTAGTTTATATAATGGTCGTCCAAGCTCTCTGTCCCTACCCCCGATACGAAAAAAAAAGACGGTTGCTTGAGGCAAAGCACCTGTACTGTGCATTGGTCAACCTCTAATGCTCTCGCTCTGTTAATTTTTTTTTTTTTCCGATGCGCGGCAAGTTGCGGCTTTGTGTGTTTGTGTGTACTGCAAAAGCGCGTGAAGCGCAGCGGCTTTCTTTATTTTTTGGCAAAAAAAGTGGCGTCAAGTGGCGGCGGCGATTTCTGGGTGCTCACCGAGCGGCCTGCCTGTCTTGCAGCGCAAGCAATCTCGAGTTCAGCTGGACCGGGGCCCCGCTCCCCAGAGCACCTTGCAAATCCTCAAGGGATTCGTTAGTATACCCTTCCCTGACTACTCCCCCCTCCCCTGGAGCACGGCTCGGATGGAACAACGAAACCCCCCTCTCCTTCCGAAACAACGCTTCCTCTTCGCAGCCAGCATCCCGGCTAGCATTACCGTGAAATCGCGTAGGATTCCTCAGATACCAGAAAGAGCTTCCTATGGCGCATAATGTCTTAAACAAACAAACCGTGTGTGTTTGTTTAATATTTTAGTTTGGACACAAGGTCTCGGGAAAAGGGGGTAAAGACAGATACACTGCCTCACCAGGTGCAGTCGCCTTAATCTCTGATTGTTTTTTTTTTCTTTGCATTCACTTATTTTTAGTTAGCCCATTAAGTATGCGAAGTGTCCCTTTTCTAAACTTCGGTTGTTGCGCTGGAACTTTATTGGCAGAGGAAGCAGGTAGTTAGCCCATATAATATCTGCGAGTAACCACTCTCAGCATAAACCCTTGAAACTAATGGCAAGGGCCAAGCAAATGATCTGGTCGAGGAAGTTATGTATCGTGTGTTGATTGTTACGAAAAATTTTAATGTCGGTTTTCAAGGGAAAAAAATATGTTACGAAAACTGAGCAGAGCACCAAGCAACGTTCATATGAAACCCACAGATGTAAACAGCATCTGGGTAATATGTCTTGCATATTACAAAAATAACATCGGCATGCACCTTGGTTTAGGTTGCAGAATACGGTTCCAGCAGTCTGGTTAAATGTTTTTTATACGGTCTTCGTCGCTGGAGGTAATTACATACTTACCAGGGTCATCTTAAAAATGACCCAATTTGTTGAACCGAACGCGGAAATCTGACTGCTATTACCAAGTCGTCTCGATAGATCTTACTTGTCCAGTGGTAATCCTGAAATCCGCCTCAAGCCAAAAACAATTTGACACCATTTTTTTATGGATTGTACATTTTTTTATGGTCGCGGCAGCGTTTGAGGTAACCTAAACTCTATCACAATGAGACAGGTGGCCAAACGTAAACAACTAACGCTGGCTGCAAAGTCGAAGCATTTACCCCCGCCCGCTGTCCTCCCCAAGTCCCAGCGGTGCATTGTCAAGCCCTGGCTGTAACGTGCCGCCGTGCAGCTGCCGCATGTGTCCTGTTTTCAGCAGGCAAGCGTGCGCCTTTGCATGCGTAGCATGCTCTTCTTTTGCACTCTGTGGCCTGTCTGAAGGAGCTTCAGTGTTCGCACTTATACGCACGCACGCATGGGCGTGTCGGGGGTCACTCATATCAAAGGAAGGCCTAAACAACGAGAGGACTGGTCATTAGTGACCTTTTTATTAATTTCTAGGTGACTTTTCTCATTGGAGAGTCTAGAGAAAAGCCTTCTGAAAGATTGTTATAAATCGGTCGGTGAAGCGAACGTCAAACCAAGCCTTTACCAGCCAGCAACGGTTGTCGTCAACGCTAGAAACCGTCGCTTGACTCCAACAGCAGAGAGCTTTAGGGAACCGTTTTGCACATCCGATAGGTACGATGGGCTCTCAGGTACGGAGCGCATATGCTACTGCAGAAGTCTCGCCCATGCGCAGTTCGTACCGGAGGGCTTATCGTACCGTATCGGATGTGTAAAAACGGTTCCCTCAAATTCTCTAGTAACTGTCGACAACTGCCGACATTGGAAACCGTCAGCGCTACAAACCGTCAATAAACATCAACGTTAGCCATAAGCGGTAACTCTAATCGCCACAAACCGTTGCTTGCATCGGTAGCCGTCTTGGTGACGAAAAACGGCAACCGTTAGCGAAACAAACCGTCGCTAGCCGTCAACGGTAACCGTAAGCAGCGACTGACATTTGCAAGGATCAACTCCAGAAATGATCGCTAGCCGTCAACAGTGGCCATTAACGCTCCGGACCATCCCTAGCCATTGATCCTTCGTCGAGTACTGTCACTGAGGAATAGCCACGTGAAAATGAAGAGTATATAAACTTTCTGCCGGTTCAGGTGACCCTCCACTGACCGGCAGGATTTAGCAGTCCTGGTGTCAGGGCCTTCTCCGGAGGGGTGGCCGTTGGAAAAATTTGGCAGTCATTGCTGACGGCTGGGGATGGTTTGCTGTGATGCTATCTTAAAAGACTGCTAGACGCCAGAAGATGCATATGTGCATTAGGAGCTCTTTTTAAGCAAAGTTGAGATCCTTATTACTTAGTGCGCCGACAACACGAAGCGAACCAACCGCCTGATGTCGGTCAGACCGCATAATTCCATCGACCGTACTAAGTGCCTCCTCTAGGAATCCCCATTAGAGGCCTACATCGCATAGCGTCGTTAGCTGCTGGAATATGTATAGGGGATCAAGGACTGGCCTTTCCTTGCGTTTGTTTAGGTTGACCGGGCACTGCCTAACCTCTGCCTGTGCCATGCTGCCTGTTCTTTTTTATGCGATTGCTTGGGCCACTGCATCGCCGCTTTCTATGTAGGCGGCGGTGGTGGCGGCGGTGGTGTTAGAGGTCATAAGTTGTCAGTATCGATAGTTCCTTTTTAGACGCGAGTTTGTGCTGTTGTAATGTTGGGTATTGTGGATAAATGTTGAGAATGGCGCTACTGTGGATGTGTGCACACGTAGCGTGCTCCCTTCCGCGACATTGTTTTTTTTATCACTCGTCGCGGGGGTCGTGACATTTTGACTATGTGTTTAGAGGTTCTCTATGTCTTTTAGGGAACGTTTCCTTTCTTTAATATTTTGTCCGCCTTTTTTTGTTTAATTTCGGGTGTGTTCTTACGTTGGTGTTTGTGAGTACGTTGGGTCTCGTATTGCTGCTGTGGTGTTACTGTTTTGTGCCCTGGCGCCGAGGGTACACACTTGTTGTAAACTAAATGTATAACATTGATGCCATTTTGCTGCGGTTGGGGCTTTGGTAGATTGAAACCACAAGACCATTTGAATTCGTCCGTTACCTTCGGTGTCTTCGTGCTAGGCTTATTGTTGTCGAACAAGATGGTCGTTTTTTGTTTTTTTCCTAGTTGATTTATAGATATTGAGAACGCAATAAAACAATGAATTCATGAACAGGTCAGTGCGATTATTACAATGTCTTTTAAGATATGCTATATTTTTTTGTAAGTAGTATAGCTCCTTTTTCGTTATATCTCTTTTTAATATACACGTTATTTATGGTCAGTCTTTCAGGCAAAAGGGATTCTAACATACAGGCTTTTTCTTCTTCTTTAATAAATGAGTTTTTCTTATGTGATGGCACTGTCTCGTCGGTGCCGGCTACTTCCTAAAAAGCTGGCAGTTCATTCAAATTTTCAACGGTTTGACGCTTTAGACGTCGCTGTTGATTGTTTTTACGAAATTCACTTGTTTCCCTTCACGACTCTTTTCCATTTTTGTTTGCGTTGGTGTACGTGCGCGTACGTCTGCACACTCAGGCATAAGTTAAGGGGATCCGCCCAAATAACGTTATAAATATATTGCCACCCGGAATACGTAAATGCTTCAGCAGTTCAGCAAAACTAAATTAGTTGAAGAACACTCTCTACTTGGATATTTCGGGTCAACAACCAAGCAGGAACATTTGTCTAAACAGCCTTATACCAAAAGCATCACGCTTATTGTCCCTTGTCCTATTTTTGCTCCTCTTACGGATGGAGGCAGGCGACGCATTTTCGTGGCTCGCCCTCGATGATACATAAAAAATTTAAAACTTGAAACCAAAGATAAAAAGAGTCTTCGCGAATGGACGTGAAACAACAACCAAAAATATGCCCATCGGCATATAAAGGGGCACGTGTATATGATTGGAATGCGGGTGGCAGGCGGCGGTGACAACCCGCGCAACGGTGATAAATGAAGAAGCGCGCACAATAGATTCTTTCGCTCCGTCTAATTTGCAACCGCACACGCGGAACCTGGTGGGCCATGCGCTGCGTCTGGGAGGGTCAGAGAGCTAGAGGGGGTTGGCCGCTTCCGACTCGGAATAATAATATGAATAAATGTAGCAAAGCGAGTGGCTGGAGGAAAATGGCAAAAAGAAACCGACGCTAGCGACGCTGCGGACGTCTTCCCCCCGGAAGGCGCCGACGAGTCCTGCAGTGCGACGCCGGCAACGTTGACAATAAACGCTGGCCGTCGTGGACGCTACGAAGGCTCTCGCGGAACGCCAAGTATGTGGCCAATTAGAGAGAGCGCATCTTGGAGCCGAACCCTTCTTTTTGGGGAGAGGTCGCGCGCCTGAGTACGTGCCGCTTGTTGGCCGCTTCTCTGTCGTGCCCGCCATTGCGACATCAAAAAGAACGTGCCTTTTTTTTTCTTTTTTTTTTTTCTTCTTGGCCTGAGTTTCTTAGGCGGTGAGGGGCTATATGAAACACCCTGAAAGGTTTGCTGACCTATTAAGTGAGAAAAAAACAATAAAAAAACAATGTGACCTACATTCCTATATATTACAGCGGAGCTGTTAACGGCTAGTTTCCCCAGTATCGTGTCCACCATCAAACAAATGATGACACAAAACTCTGAACAACTACCGCCATCTATGAGCGACGGCGGCAACCTTTCCAGCCTTTCCGCCCTGGCTTGCCGACTTGCGGCCGGCCATTACTTCATTCCCACCATAACACAGCTTTGCTAGTCTTCCTTCTTCACCTGAGTGGAAAGGCTGAAAGTTTTGTATATATCCACAAATTCGAGCTCGGAAGTTATCTAGTGGTAATAAAAAAGAAAAAAAATTCGTGGTTTATTTGGGTCCTGATGCATCTATACCTCTCGGCGGAATGTGCACTCTAAAGGCTGGTTCACACACTTGCGACTGCTTACGACCGAGTGCCTTAAAAACATTTTGGGATTCCTTACGGCGAGAGAACACACACTGGCGCCCTCTATCGGGTAGCGTGGAACACGGGGCATTTCCGTACATTTGTTGGTCAATTTGGTTTCGCACATCATTCTTTCTGGGCATAGAAATATATATATATATATATATATATTACAATGTTATACATGGTTACTTTGGGGACTCCGAGCCAAAGCGCCACG